CATAAGTGAACATTAAAGTTCTGAGAGCATCTGATGGTTCCAAGACACATTCTTCAGGAGATATGTTAAGTCCTGAGCTGTACCACTATGAAACCTACATGTTCCTCACCTGACAGGGAGTCACAGCCGCTATCCACATAAATCATAGATACTTATCCATTTCATGCATACAACAAACCTACTGAGTGTCAAATACCAAGAAAAGGAGGAAACAAGAAAGACCAGGTTCCTGCTGTCATGGAGCTAACTCTCTAATGAGAGAAATAGGATACATAAAACCACTGTGAAAAATAGCAGTGATAGATCCAATCCCAACAAACAAGGATATTATGAAAAATGACTAATGATTTTAGACTGGATGAGACAAGGCCTCAGAGAGTGAAAATGAGGCTAAGAACTAACTTCCTCCCCCCCCACCCCCCAAGACAAATGAGGATCAGAGGGAAGAAGAGTGCAAAGGCCCTGACACAGAAAGAAGTGTGTATCGGCCAATGACTACAAAAAAGCTTAGTGACTACACCATAATAAAAGAGGTGGAAATCAGTATAGGATGAGATCAGAAAACAGCCAATGGCCAGCTTATACAGGGCTTTGTAAGACAAAACAAGGAGTTAGGAATTTCTTCCAAGTGAGATGGAAAGCCATCAGAGAGTTTTACACATGGGAGTAACATGATCTGACCGATATTTTTCTGAAGTTCATTCTACCTGTCACATAGAGACAACATGGAAATACTAGTCCAATCCTTTCATTAAAAAGAGCTTTGCATATATGTTAAATATACTACCACATGATACCATAAAATGCTAAGAAAAGAGTGCATTTACAGAGTGTCACTTTGTCACCCTCAGTAGAGTGCCATGGCATCATAGCTCACAGCAACCTATAACTCTTGGGCTCAAGTGATTCGTTTGCCTTAGTCTCCCAAGTAGTTGGGACTACAGGAGTCCCCCACAACGCCCAGCTATCTTTAGAGACAAAGTCTCACTATTGCTCTCAAACCCATGAGCTCAGGTAAGCCACCCACCTCTGCTCCCCAGAGTAATAGAATTACAGGCATGAGCCACCATGCCTGCC